TTTTTTTACTATTCATTATTACTTTGATAGCATTATGCAGGTAATAATAACACTAACAATATGAATAGTATAAATAATAATAGTATTAAGGGGCGGGAGTAGAAGCCGACAGTATGTATTGTTTAGAAATCGCCAAAATAGGTATGGAAAGAGTGTCTATAGTCTGTTAAGAAAGGAATAATAATATATATTTCAATTAATATGATCAATAATATATATATAATTTCAATTAATATGATTAATAATATAATTAATATGATTAATAATATATATTTCAATCAATATGATTAATAATATATATTTCAATTAATATGATTAATAATATATACATATTAAATACATATTTCAATTAATAATATATATTTCAATTAATTTAATATATATCAATCATATATATAATACATGTGATTAATAACATATATTTCAATTAATTAATGATTAATAATATATATTTCAATTAATTAATGATTAATAATATATATTTCAATTAATTAATGATTAATAATATATATTTCAATTAATATGATTTTTAAATTATGCATTTTATAACCTGAAAAATGTTTGTCCTTTTTACATGGAATTCCGTTTTGAAAATATCTATCAGGTCATCATAATTTTTTACATACGAGTGTTTCAAGGTCCTCAAAGGAGCTTGTCTGTATTCATCCTCCAGACAAATGTCTTGCGGCGGATTATGATAGACACTTTTGCTATTTCTTCTCTGCAACATACGAATATATATACGAAAATATAAATACGAAAAAAAATACGAAAATACGAATGCACATACGTCGTTTTTAGTAATCGCTGAGCCTCCATTTCTACAGAAGATGGTAAATAATCTATGAGGACCGCTTGGGTAACCGTAGATAAGATCTTTATAAATACGGGTCTAGTAAATTCGGATTTCTGAGCAGTTTTGGGTGATAAGGCCTATGACGTCACGCGGCGTATAGAGAATAGTAGGGTGGGAAGGAGATAGAAATAGAAAACGGTAGCGAATGAGTGAAATAGATAAGTAATTATTAGATGCCGACACATACAAACAGACGCCATGTTTTTCGCTGACATCGAATAGAAGTGTGATGGCTCGTGTGACCAGCTAGTTGGGAAATCGACCTCAGGTTGACCTCGAATGGCGGATCACATCACAAACGGGTTGATGAAAAAAGCGCTGTTGTGACCGTGTCCATAGAAGGAAAAAATGATCAAGGAATTGGGAAAGCAGGTGAGGTCACGTAGGGGCTACTAATTGACTCCTTGGTGGCTGAGCACTTGTAGAGCTATTTGTGGGCTACGGAATTTCTCTCTCTCTCTCTCTCTCTCTCTCTCTCTCTCTCTCTCTCTCTCTCTCTCTCTCTCTCTCTCTCTCTCTCTCTCTCTCTCTCTCTCTCTCTCTCTCTCTCTCTCTCTCTCTCTCTCTCTCTCACACACACACACACACACACACACACACACACACACACACACACATACACAGGTACACTCAAAAGAAAGAAAAGTAACAGTGAATAGTACATGTCTTCACGACCAATAGGTAAAAAATAGTTAACATTTACAGGAAATATAAGTATGATAACAGCAAAGTACAAAATACGTACATACCTTTCTAGTTTCCAACCAAAAAATCTATAAAAAAAAAAATGATACAAAATTGCTTATTCAGCATTAACTCAAAAGGACTTAAAATATAACAAAAAATAACATAGTGTTTCGTATCATTAATTCAATCACACATACTACACAGTGTTATTCTTTTACTCGTATTCCCATTGTAACTGAAGGTCTTCGTGTGACACGGAAATATGATACACAGTAATGCACATCAACTCATACAACAATTAGAGAAGAGTCCATAGCAGAAAAGGATAATAGAGTAATGTATTTTCACCATCGAGCTAACATGATAGAACCATTGCGATTAAGACAGAAATATGACACATGGCGATACATTATGAATTCATCTAGATATAACAACATACAAATTGCTATATACTTTGTACTATCCAGATCACTCAGTGGATGGACCTTGAGGAACACTAAAAATATAACACATGTAAAGCTCAAAGAAAACACCTGGCAACACTAAGAGCCTCCAGATTAACACCAAAATATAACACGCGTTCAAAGATAACACCAAAGCATACAAGAAGCCTCCAAAGTAACACGCTAAAGCCTTCAGGTAACACATATAACCCATGCAAGCTCTGAGACAACACCTAAATAAGCAAAGAGTGTCCAGCAACACAAAATATAACACCTGCCACCTCTGAGACAACCCCTTCCCATGCCAAAAGCCTCAAATAACACAAACACAACACATCAAACTCCACATAACACCGAGATAACACAACTATAACACGAACACCTATCAAATAGCACAAAACCACAACACAGGCTCCTACATAACACCGAGATAACAAACATTACACACACGCACACACACACACACACACACACACACAAATATAACACGAACACCTATCAAATAGCACAAAAAAGCTCCGATATAACACCGAGATAACACACACACACACACACAAATATAACACGAACACCTAAGCGAACCGAGAGGATGAGAGGATGAGACACAGACCCCGTGAAGGATAGTCCAAAGCGATATTCAAAATCCTTCAATGTGACAGAAGATGACAGAAGAAAAGAAAAGAGGATATTCTTCCGTCGCTGAGACAAAGGAACCGGGTGCAAGATTTAAGGGGTTCTACGTTTCATCGAAAAAAGAGAAAAGAAAAGAGAGGAAATGACAGGAAAGGATAAAAGAAGAGAAAGAGAAGAGAGAAAGAGCGAAGGGTGAACGAAAGACAAACAAGACGAATGATGGATTTAGAGGTAAAAAGAAAAGAAAAAAAGAGAAATGACAGGAATGGATAAAAGAAAGAGAAGAGAAAGAGAAAGAGAGCGAAGGGTGAAGGAAAGACAAAACAAGACGAATGCTGGATTTAAGGGTTCTACGTTTCAATCGAAAAAGAGAAAAAAAGAAAAGAAGGAAATGACAGGAAAGATAAAGAAAAGAGAAAGAGAAAGAGAGAAAGAGAGCGAAGGGTGAACGAAAGACAAACAGGACGAATGATGGATTTAGAGGTAGAAAGAGAAAAGAAAAAAGAGGAAATGACAGGAATGGATAAAAGAAAGAGAAAGAGAAAGAGAGCGAAGGGTGAAGAAAGACAAACAGGACGAATGATGGATTTTAGAGTAGAAAAGAGAAAAAGAAAAAAAAGAGGAAATGACAGGAATGGATAAAAGAAAGAGAAAAGAGAAAGAGCGAAGGGTGAAGGAAAGACAAACAAGACGAATGATGGATTTAGAGGTTCTACGTTTCATCGGAAAAAAAAGTAAAAGAAAAAAGAGGAAATGACAGGAATGGATAAAAGAAAGAGAAAGAGAAAGAGAGCGAAGGGTGAAGGAAAGACAAACAAGACGAATGCTGGATTTAGAGGTTCTACGTTTCATCGAAAAAAAGAGAAAAGAAAAAAGAGGAAATGACAGGAATGGATAAAAGAAAGAGAAAGAGAAAGAGAGCGAAGGGTGAAGAAAGACAAAAAGACGAATGATGGATTTAAGAGGAAACTAACGTTTTATCGGAAAAAGAAGGAAAAGATAAAAAAGAGAGAAGAAGTAGAAAGAGAGGAGATAAGAAAAGGTATAAGATGGATGCCAAATTTAGAGCTTCCACATTTCATTAGAGATAGAGAAAGAGAGATGGAGAGACAGAGAGAGAAAGAGATAAGGAGAGAAGGAGAAAGAGAGAGAGAGAGGAGAGAAAGAGAGAGAGAGAGAGAGAGAGAGAGAGAGAGAGAGAAAGAGAGAGAGAGAGAGAGAGAGAGAGAGAGAGAGAGAGAGAGAGAAGAAGAGAAGAAGAGAGAGAGAGAGAGAGAGAGAGAGAAAGAGAGAGAGAGATTGAAAGAGAAAACATAGAGAAACACAGAGAGGAAGAGCGAGAGAGAGAGAGAGATAGAGAGAGAGAGTGAGAGATTGAGAGAGAGAAATAGAGAAACACAGAGAGTAAGAGAGAGAGAGAGAGGATAAAAAACAACAAACAAACAAATAACTAAGACGGATACCACACTTAGTGATTCCACATTCCATCTAGAGAAGGAAAGAAAGAAGAAAAAAAGGAATTTCGGAAGAGGGATAAGGAAAAACACAAGAAAGAAAGGAAAAAATAAGATAAAAGAAAGAGATGGATGAGAAAAATAATAATATGGGTCAACATTTCACAAAAAAACGATAAAAAAAGAAAAAAAAAAAAAAAGAATTTGAGGGTCAACACTTTCCAAAAAGAAAAAAAAAATGAGAAAAAGAAAAGACAGGATAGAGAAATAAAGATGGTTAAAAAAAACAATAAAAAAACGGATGCAAAATTAAGACTTCCGCGTTTCCATCAAAAGTAAGAAAAAATGATAAAAAAGTAAAAGTAAAAAAAAAAAAAAAAAAAAAAAAAAAAAAAAAGAAGTAAAGATAGGAAGGAAATAAAGAAAGCACAAGATAGATGCAAATTTTAGAGGTTTTCACATTTCCACCCCAAAGAAAGAAAAATTATAAAAAAGAGAGGACTGTTAGATAAAAATAATAATAATAGATAAATAAATAAATAGATTAAATAAATTGATAATGATTGAAAATTTTCTATATTCCTTTTCCGACCGCAAGCATGGCCATCAAAGGATCTCGTCAAAACTCCATGAAGGATAGAACAACATTATAAACAAAAAGCAAACAACAGAACAAAACAAGAAAACAAACAAACAAAAAATCAAGATGCGTCGAAGAAAAAACAAACAAACAAAAGCAAATTCGTAAGTCATTATTAAATAGAACCCCAATCTTCTTTTGTTTTTTCTTCTCGGAAATGGAAAGTCTCCTTGTTAAAAAAATAAAAAAATGTTCTTTAGGAAGTGTTTATTAAAACCTCATTTCGTGAGTGTTTTGGTATTTCCATGACAGATCTTGATGACAAAAAGATATAGTATATATTACTA